ACGCAATCTTTACGCCCGTCATCTGACCAGTCCTCACGCAAGATTCCCTGCGCGCGCTCCTCGCCCAGAGGAGGAAACACAAGGCCGGAAACGCCGCGCTGTCATTCAGAGCATGGGAGCGCCCCGCCACGCTCCTCCGCGCCCCGCCGCCCGGCGCCGCCCCTCGCGCCGTCTCCATTTCAGCTCCGAGGAGCAAGGCACGCGCCGTAGCACCTCGCATTTACCCCAAAAGCGCCCTAATTAGTTGGAACCTAAACACACACGCACGTACTCCACTTAATCGGCGCGGCGGAACGGCGCGGCGCGGCGCGGATATGTGCCTAGCTCTAACACGCTCCAAAACGCGTGGCGCGGGATTACGCCTCCCCCCCTAACAAGGGTATTAAAGGAGGCGGGCGCGCGCCGACTGACAGCACTCGCCGAGTGGATCTCGTGGGGCGCAGCACTTCTCGACATGGCGGCCGTGTTGGTTCTGGCGTTGGCGCTCGCGGCGAGCGGGGCAGGGCGGGCGGCGGCTGCGGCCGAGGAGGCGTCGGCGCCCAGCGACTGGGACATGTTCGCCAACGGGCTGCAAGTGCTGTGGGGCGCGTACGACGGCTGCGCGCGCGGCGCCGCCGGCGACGTGGCCGCGTGCCTCAAGCTGCGCGCGCTGCGCTCGGCGGAGCGGGCGCTGCGCGCGGAGCGGCTGCCGCTGCTGGGCGGGCTGGCCTTCGTGCGCGCGCAGGGCCGCGACGGCCGCGGCCTGGCCGACGACGAGCCCCCGCCGCTGGACGAGGCCGCGCTGCCGGCCGATGCCGCCGCCAAGCAGAGGGCGCTGGACGAGGCGCTGCTCGACCGCGTCGCTCGGTTCTTCAAGGGCCACTCGCTGCAGCTGGACGAGGCGCGCCTGTTGGAGGACGATGGCGCCGGCGACGAGGGCGAGCAGGGCGCGCAGGACGGCGAGGACGGCGCCGTCGCCGAAGGTGAGCTCGCAGACCAACCTCTTTCAGATCTTACAGAAACGAAACAATTAACATTTCAACAGTTATTTTATAGCCACAATTCTTGTTTCACAACAAGTTTAAAACTATTCAATGAAAGAAAACCTTTTGGTTTTTAAGGTCGCATGAACTACGAGGTCAGTAGCGACCTCTATTTATTAACGTTACGGGTATCTGTATACTGAATGAAGTAATATGGTGATGATGAGGTGTGAAACGACGAGCACAAATATAACCATGCCCGAGGCAGAACTCGAACCCGCCTTGGCCCGGGATCGCCACTGCACTACTGCATTTGTGATCTCAGCCAGTGGTATCGGTTAAAGAAACATTTGAAATTGCTTAAAACTCATTGTATTACAGAACACCTGATAATGCGACCAATTGGGTCTATACGTAGTGTATAGATGCCAATAAAATAATTGTTTCAAATATGAATTGTCAGTAAAGTAAGACGATACCACTGCACCTAATAATGTTCAATAGAGAGACAATCTTAGCTCTCCCTTTTAACAACATATTAATTTTTTTTAATTCAAAGTTAAATTTATCAAGCTTGATATCGATAATAGCTTCGAAGACTAGGCATGATGATATGGTTTGCTCACATCTCACGAAAATGTTCCAAACATTTTATTTAAAAAGTCCATAAATTACGACTTGTGAATTTCTAAATCTTCAACAGTATTATGTAATTTTGGTTATCAGAAACAACCATTAAGTTTGAAGTTTCTCCTGCATTTATCTGCATCCTATACAAGTTTAACAAAAAATAAATCTAGAAACATTCTCATATTAACGAATCTAAAGATGTGTAAATTTTCCTTCATAATTTTTCGTATTTCGTCTACACACCATACTACGCAAATAAGAAAAATAGCAAAGCGTTCCTAAATTTAAAAATATAGTTCAGGTATTTTATCATCCTGTTCGACACAGATTTCGAAGGTATTTCAAAACGTCTCACAAAAATTTACGTGTTCAACCAGCCACAGACCCCAACGAAGGAGAGAGGATTGGTAATCTCGCCAGCTTTATGAGAAGCACATTGGGAAATTGGGCAAATAAACGCCTGATAATGCGACATTGGGGGTCCTATACGTAGTTGGGTAAAACTAGATGGGCCCAATAAAATAAATTGTTTTTTCAAATATGGAAAAAAATTGGTCCCAGTAAAGTTAAGACGATACCACTGGGCACTTAAAATAATGAATGGTGGTTCAATAAGAGAGAATCAAAATGTCCCTGTTAAGCTCTCCTTCCTTTGTTTTAACAACAATATTAAGATTTTTTTTTTTTTTTTGTAAATTCAATATTTTTGAAATTTAAATCACGCTTGAACATCTATTCGATCAATCGATGCTTTTTTCGAAGACTGAGAGAGAAAGGCATGATGGGAGTAAAATGGTGGTTTGCTTTTCATCTGCCACGAAATGTTTGGCCAAACATTTTATTTGTTTAAAAAGTCAGGAGTAGAATTACGAGCTTTCGTGGGAATTTTTCCTAAATCTTCAAACAGGTAATTATGTTATAATTTTTTGGGGTTTATCTAGGAACAACCATTAAGTTTTGGGGGAAGTTTCCTCCTGGGCATTTTATCTGGGGCCATCCTATCACAAAGTTTAACAAAAATTAAATGCTAGGGACAACATTTCCCATATTAACGGGGAATCTAACGGGATGTGGTAAATTTTCTTCATTGAATTTTTCGTATTTGTCGGTCGCTACAGACTATTAGGCTACGCATAAATGAAGAAAAATAGCAAAGCGTTGCCTGAAATTTTAAAAATATAGTGTCAGGCGGTATTTTATGCATCCTGTTCGAGCACAGATTTTCGAAGGTAATTTCAAAACAGTCTCACAAAAGTTTCGTGTTTCACCAGCCATACAGAACCGGATTTAGACTCGTTTTAAAACATAAATTCATAAAATTGAATTACAATGCAATA